GAACCAGCATTTTTTTTTTCAAAACAACCAAATTAGGATGCAAAAAATGGTTGTTTAGGGGTGACACCTACACTGTTTTCTCCATGAAGTGTTACGAAGCTGATTGTGAAACAATTCTACATTAACAGAGTATTGTTTAAATGTCTCTTTAGTTGAGACCTCAAAAGACATTGAATGTATTTTCTGTGCCAGGTTACTAGCTAACGCAGTGATTTTTGTAATTCAACAACATGCCCTTACATTTAACTCTCAAGCATGATAATGAAATTATTGTAAAACACGTACGTTTGATTGGACCGACAGTGGGGTTGATGAAAAGGTGAAGCACAAATGTTCCATGTAAAGAAGCCTGAGAGAAGAAAAAAATGTTCTGCTATCCACCATTGTTACTGTTCTACTTGCATAAGTGCAGAAAAGCTACTGACTGCAGTCGTCTGTAGTGCAATTTTACACCAATGCAGGGCATTTTCAAAAACCTGCACTCCTGGATTTAAAAAAGTTTCTGTGCCAGAGGATACTGTGACTCTTTTTATTTACAGAAATAACCAAAGCCAAAAGAAATGTTAGGATTTCACCTACAAATGGTGTTCCGTAAACAGGGCCCCAGTTGAATTGTTCAGCATCACCGTCACAACACTTGGAGACAATCGGTAAGCTTGAGTCAGTTGCCAGCATAACCGTCAAGATTTCTGAAAACTTAGTTTGAATAAAATTTTAGATTGAAATAATTTCTTGCTATTTTGAGAAATCTACACTAACGTTGTGAAAAAAAATAGTCAAAAGTAAAACAAAAAATGTGTTCTCCCAAGATAATATGAAAATAATTATTTTAAGCACATCCTTTCTTGTCTTCTGTACTTTTGTGAAACTAAGTTATAAATTCTGTTTATTAAACACCTGACTCCAGTAAAGTTAGAGAGCGTTATCCTCTAAAACAGTGTTTCCCAAAGTTGGGGTCGGGACCCAAAGTGGGGTCCTGAAACATCAAGGTGGGGTCCTGAAAAGATTTTCTGAATTAATTACATTTTTGCCTTAGTTGTTACAAAGGAGTGAGGTTAGTTTATTTAAAATGGATAAATGTTTGGGAACCACTGC